TTACTAAAATGAAAGAAATCAATGTGTCTAATAGGAGCTAAGTGTCATTGGTGTGCAATAAGGAAATGCCACTAGATGAGGGCTGGGTATAGAAGCACCTGTCTGAAATCTCAGATATTCAGGAAGGGAAGTGAGGCAGAGTGAGGTTCAAAGCTATTGAGGACAAAGTTCTGGGGGAAATCTTATCTAGGTGTGGAGGGAACACTTAAGGCAAAGGAAACAGAAGACTGACTCAAGTGTTAAAGTGTTTGCTTAGCAGATACCTTTGGGCTCCTCCAAAAACATCTGCTACCAAACTGCTACCAATCATACCATACAGGTGGTATGATTGGCTATGAAATTCCAATTTGATTATATCTCAAGCACTTTTTCCCAACATTTTGATTCTGATGGATAGCGGTGAAGACACTGAAGGGCTTTTCATCCAGGTTTCAGAGGAAGCATCAGTTGCCTACCTGCCATTATTGCTTCTGTCATCTATCTGTAACAAAACTGCAGTGAGTGACGTCTCTAAATCAAAGCAGATTAATAAGAATTTCTCTTTTTTCTCTTTTTTGTTCTTTTTCTTTCTTTCTTTCTTTCTTTCTTTTTTTGTTGTTGTTGTTGGTCGTGGGGCTTGAACTCTGGGCCTGGGCGCTGACCCTTAGCTCTTCAGCTGAAGGTGAGTGTGCTAACACTTGAGCCACAGCTCCACTAAGAATTTCTATAGTTACTTTGTTGGCACTAGGATACCTGTGTGGTTTTAGTCATTAGAAATGCAAGAGAAGGCCAGGCACAGGCCATCTATTCAGTTTTTGTGTTTGTAGTCTTCTACATAGAAAATGACACACCCCACAAGGACAGTAAGCAACTAAGAACATAATCACTTCACTCTTGAGTCCTACAACTTTTCTAGTCAAAAGAAGATCCATACATTTTCAGAAAACTCTAGCCATTGACCCTTTTTCCTTCTGTGTTGACTCCTATCTGAAGAAGTAACATAGGAATAATGTTCATTGGTTAAAGTTGCTTTTGCAATTTTCTTCATTGAAAGACACTTGGTATAGTATGTTTCCTCTATGATCCTATAAATTTTTCTGGTTGTCATAAAGCTGTCTGGGGAAGTTCTCATAAAAAAGAAAGCAGTAACTTGAGAAATTTCATTATTACATGAATAAGATCTCCATCCTGCAATTATTCAAAATGGGGAGAGGTATGGATGGTGTGCTTAGAGATGTCTGGTAATGACATCAAGACAACCTGGTTAGAACTAATTACCCCCTAATCTGCACTGGAATCTCAGATGACATGCTCTGTTTCCACCCCCATTGCAGGACATCATCTTTTAAAAAGTACTTGTATAATATAATTAAATTTATAAGTGGTATCAAAACTGACTAAAGACAGTATCTTCAGATATTAGTCTGGGTGTTAAAAGAATTGTATTGTAGTTAAAAAACAAGCTGTTCAGAGATTGCAAGCCAAAGAGAAGTATGTTTTGACTTCAGCCTTCCCATGACCCTAATATCTAGGCCCTTTCTGCAGACACTATCATTTTACTTTCTTATTTCTAAAATTCATTGCAGCCAAGTTGTCTGTTCTGCCATAGAGAGCTTGCAACACTCTTCTCAGAAGGAACATAATCATGGAGCCTTCCAAATGACTGGGCTTTTTGTCCATGCTGTCACTGGGGCCATGAGTCTAATTAGAGTAAAAAGCACCTTTAATTAACATGGATTAATAGAATCAACTTCTGACTCAGAGATCTGATACTACTCTAACCCAAACTTACTCTTCTTAATCACTATCAGGCTTATCAGATGTTCTTCAATTGTAGTTTTTTTCCATATTTTGTGTTTTGAACCTAATCACAAAATTCTTCAGAAAGCATTGTTTTAGCATAAAATGTATATGCAATGTTTCACTGATTAACTTTATAGGTGGCATGCTCTTAAATGAGCATGTCTTTAATTATCTTCTTTATATATTATCTTTTTCTTCTGTCTAAACGTGGAAAGCTAGGAAACAGAATTTTTGAAAGTTAAGCTATTCATAAACTTTTAAAGAATTTAAAGGCCCCCCCCCAAAAAAATTTAAAGGATCCCATTAAAGATACTAGGGCTGGGAAGGTGGCTCAGTGGTAGAGCGCTTGCCTTGCATGCATGAGGCCCTGGGTTCAATTCCTCAGCACCACATAAGCAGAAAAAAAAAGCCGGAAGTGGTGCTATGGCTCAAGTAGTAGAGCGCTAGCCCTGAGCTGAAGAGCTGAGAGACAGCGCCCAGGCCCAGAGTTCAGGCCTCACGACCGGACCAAAAAAAAAAAAAGATATTTTATTATATTTCTTCATTTTTTGCTGGTCATGGGGCTTGAGCTCAGGGCTTAGACACTGTCCCTGACCTTTTGCTCAAAGCTAGTGCTCTACCACTTGAGTCATAACACCACTTCCAGGATTTTCTAAATAGTTTATTCAAGATAAGAGTAACTAACTTTCTTGTCCAGGCTAGCTTCAAACTACAATCCTCAAATCTCAGCCACTGGCCCCTGGCTTAAAGATACTTTAGTTGTAAGATTTACCAGACACATATGTGTATATTCAATCATCCCTTGGTATCCATGGAGATTGATCCTGGGATCCTCTAGGATACAAAAGTCTGCAGGTATGCAGGTCCTTTATATCAATGACATCGTATTTGCATATAATCTGTGTACATCCTCCCTCATACTTTAAATCATCCTTAAATTTCTTATGATACCTAATGTAAAGGTCAGGTAACTAGTTGTTATACTATATTGACTGGGGGATAACATAAGAAAAAATGTTTGTACATATTGGATATAAACATAAAACTTTGTGCGTGAGCATGTACATGCATGTGCATGTGTGCCAGTGTGCCAGTGCTGGAGCTTGAACTCAGAGTCTCTCTTGCTCTCTTTACTTTTTCACTTATGGCTAATGTTCTACCACTGCCAGATTCAGCTTTTGTTGGTTCATTGGAATTAAATATCCCATGGATTTGTCTGTGCTAGCAGGCTGTGAAGTTTGAATCTCAAATCTCAGTCTCCTGAATAGCTAGTATTTAGAGGTCTGAGTCTGCAGTGCCTGGCTAGACACAATTTTTGAAATATCTTTGATATATGATTATTGAATATGTCAATAAAGAGGCCTAACTATGCATATGTATACATAGGTAGATATGTATATATATGTGCAACAAACACAAATTTATAAAACTCTCTATATATACATACTGCATATTTCATATGTATACAACATATATAAGCATATATGCATATATGTATTATATGCATAAGCATATATGCATATATGTATTATAAATTGGACCTATAAATTTTTGAATGATTTCCAGGCAGGCTTTGTGGAATCTCTGAAGAGCTTGAAGCTATGTAGATAGTTGCATTGTTTGTATCTGTATGTGCCTATGGTGAGAGTTTTACTCTCCAGTATTATAAACAGTAGATGCTTGTATCTACTGAACACCCTGGAATGCGAACTGAACAGAGATATGCTGTCAAGTATAAACTACACATAGGACTTTGAAGAATTAAATGAAAAAGTGAACATAAGCCATCTGGAAAGTTACCCCAGTGATTCCATGCTAAATATCTGGAATAGGTTAACTAGTATACATTATTTTCATTAATCTGTTTCTTTTGCTTTTTTTCATGTAGTTACTATAAAGTATTCAATTCCATATGTGGCTCACTCTTTACTTCTATTGGGTAGCATTCATTTGTGAAAAGTTAAAGTGTGGTAACAGACACATGACTGATTTTAATAAATTTCTACATGCAAAAAGTTTGTTTTCATAATAGCCACAAAACTGAATTCTAGGAAGTTTTAGGAAAAAAATTTAAGGTATCTATAACATAGTATCATAATAGTAAGAAAATAAAACTATTTTTCATAGTCTAGCTAACACAATTTTCTTGATAATCATGAGTCTAATGTGGACTCTGAAACCATGCCATCTATATTTGTAGATAATTTATGGACTAATACAATGAATGGCACAAAAGTAGATGCTCAACCAGTGGTCATTGCCAGATAAGTAAAAATTTTCTCATTCTAACACAAGGTTTCTAGATCAAAAGAATGTCTGACTAGTACATTGTTGCTTTTCCCAATACCACAAGCTAAACTAATTTTTTAAATGTCACCATATATAGATGGTAAATTTTTCACCATATATGTGTGTACATATATAGAGAGTGGAAAGAGAGAGAGAGAAAGAGGGATGGAGGGAGGTGAGGAGAGAGAGGGACAAAATAAATGCATACTTTTGTGCTTTTCTCTTTCTTTTCTTTTCTTTCTTTTTTTTCTTTTTTTGGAAAGCAATCTAATATTAATCATGCTTCCTGGTTTCAAAACAAGTGCCAGCTTGATTGAGTATCACAAAAACCAACTGGTAGGCCTGACATTCAGCACACTTAACAAATGGAACATATTAATCTCCCAGCCAAAGCAACATACTACGGAGCAGTGATTCTCTCTCTCTCTCTCTCTCTCTCTCTCTCTCTCTCTCCCCTCTCTCTCACTCTCTCTCTCTCTCCATCCCTCCAGCACTCCTCTCAACAAAGGTTTTGATCTCAGTTGCATCTATTTCTTGGAATCTTCTAGACCTCACTCTTTCACCTCCCTTGTGTAGGAGATGGCACTTGCGACCACCTACAAATTTAAAAACTGTACTTTGGGTTCGAAAACAAATCTGGGCTTTAGGGCTGGTGTCCATCCCCAGGGGTGGAATTCCTCCAGCAACAACTGCAGGTCCATTCAACTTGCCAGTTCCCACTAGGCTGCGAACTCGAACTCTAGGCTCGCCCTCGCATACCACAGGTGGGTGAGCCTCCAGCCTCACCCGAGCCTCAGCTGAAGGTCTGGGAGCAGGTCGCACCCCATTTCCACCCCTTGCCTTCGACAGACCTTCCTCGCACGCCCAAAGGAGCAAAACAAACACACTCCCTTCACAGCCCTGCCCAAGGCATCGCTGCCTCCATTTACCGTCTTGTACCACCAGCTTGCAAACGCCATCACGACCACCGGCTTGTTCTGAGCCGCGTAGGCGAAGGACCCAGAGCGGGTCGCGGTGCTGCGGACGTGGGGCTCACACTCTCAGGTGCTCGGCCCTGAGCCCGGGGAGCCCTACAGCCGCCAGGTGGGCGGGGACCAGAGGGAGGAGCCTCTGACCCCGCCTCCTCGGCCTCAAGCACCGCCCCTCCGCCTAGGCCCCGCCCCCGCTTGGGCCGCGGCTAATTAGGGAAGGGTGTTCTGGTCGCAGCCACGCCCTGCGGCCCCGACTTCTCTCCCAAGACCCGGACCCCCGGGGTGAAATGCACCCTTTCACTTTGTGGGGTCCTGGATGGTCTTCATTCTCCTTTCAAGCCCGGGAGCTTGTGACGCCTCTCATCAGCCAACTTTTCCCCCTACGCCCCTCGAACCCGGCCGGCGCCAGCACCAGCGCGCTGGGCCCAGCCAGGGAAGCCCCAGCCGCCTTCGGCCACCTGCGGGGTGGTGGACACTGAACCCCGACCTAAGGCCGTCCCGGGGGGGAGTTGGTGGGGGTCCGGCAGAGCAGGCCCGGCACCACCCCCGGGGCAGGCAGCCCGCCTGGCCCGGAGCGGGGGGTCCCTCCTCGCCGGCCCGCAGCTCGGAACGCAGGGCCACTCACCTCCTGGGGGTGGCGGGCAGCCGCGGCGCGCCGGGGCCGCGGAGAAGCGGCGGGCTTCGGGCCGGGCTGGGACATGACGGGGCCGCTACGCGCGCAGCCTGCGGGAAGACGAGCCGAAGCTGTGAAGGGAGGTCCGGGCTGGGAGCTCGAGGAGGGCGGGGGAGGAGCGGGCGGAGGGGCCGGGGAGCGCGGGGTGAGGCAGCTTTTCCGACCCAGCCCCGTGCCTACCCGCCCCGTTTCTCCCCGGGTCCCGCTGAGCCCTCCCCTTCCTGACCTTCCCCGGCTACAGCTCGGGGCTCTGCGTCACCAACTTTAACATCCTCAGCCCCGATCGTCGCCTGGAGACCTTTCAGCGAGCCCAGGTCGGCCTGAGGCTTCGTGGGTCAGGAAACGAGGGACCCGAAGGCTGCAGGGGTTCCTTCTGGTATTTGCCAGACGGACTCTGCAGTGGTGCCCAGCGAGAGCTGGGCTTGGGCGTGGCCGGCTGAACTTCTCTTACCCCCCCCCCCCCGCCCCGCCCCAAGAACAGGGAGAATTAGACACCTTTTCCGCAATCTATGCAAGGTTAGCTGAGAGTTTATTAACACAAATCCGGCCCTAGGCTGGGCTGTCTAGTTAAAGAAACAGAATATTTAAAGGTCTGTGTGTGTGTGCGCGCGCGCATGCATGCGCCTGTGTATGTTTTATAATGCTTTTACTCTGTTGTTTTGGCAGTTTGTAAGTTTAGTAATCCTTTCCCATTCCAATCCAATCCGGAGAATTGTCTCAGTCCCAGATTTAAGCCCTTAGATCTTTTGAGAAGTCTAGTGGATTTTGTTTCTCTTGTTGGATTGCTTTTATCTGAGGCTCATCTTAACCAACACTTCCGGGTTTGGAGTTAGAAGTGAAATTTAACCAGCACTACACCCATCTGGTGAAACTGTCAGCCTGTTGATGTCCTTAGCTGATCAGATGTCACAGAAAAATCTGTTACCCTACAGTAGCATTGTTATTTGAGGTCTTGATTCAGTCTCTGCAGTGTGTTTTAGACAGTAGGAAAGAAGCCAGATTAAAGAGAAACATTTGCCTGGTTATACAGTGAGAATGAACTTCTAGTTTCCTCTTATTCCCTCATTTTTAGGAAGTCTGACTGCCTTTTCCTCAGTAATAGACAAGTAACATTCTTTATTGGGGGAAGGGAGATTTAATTATATTTCTCCTCAAAGTGTTCTACTTACTACCTGTTTTTTGTTTTTTTTCTAGTACTTCAACAATCAGGCCTCAGTGCAGAGACACATACATAAAAATGAAACAACTTGGATGTAGAGAGCGTAATTGTCCTTTAAAAAGTTGGTGGCATCAATTACACATATAGGATGGAAGAAAATATGCCAGTACATTTGATAGTTCTGACTAAACTACTACAGTAACTAAAAACAAACAATAAGTATAAAAAGACAATGCTGGACTTGGTGGTGTATGTATGCTTGTGGTCTCAGCGACCTGGGCAAAACTCAAAGGCTTTCTGAAAAATAACCAAAAAGGGTTGGGAATGTTGTATGAATAATGGTAGAGTACTTACCTCTGTGTTTAAACCCCAGTGCCACTTCAGCCCCCAAAGGCATAAGGGTGAAAAGGGAAGCCCTTCTTAGGCTAATGGATAATAGAGAGTCTGAAGTACATTATTCTACAATGATTTCCATTAACATGGCAATATTAAATGTGAAGTCATTTTCAATGGAATATTAAACAATTAAACCTAAGGCAGTTTGCATTTTGAGGGCCTTCAATGTAAAGCACTGTGATTAAAATAGTAGGTAGAGAGATTAAAGATTGAAAACAGACAGTCTCAGTCTTTCAGGGAGTTACAGTTTAACAACTAGGGCCTTTATACACATGCTTATCTGTGTGATACTGAAATTTTTAGTTGTGAATAAGGAGCTACAGAAGGTTCTGATTCCAATGATGTTGATGATAGGATGGGAAATGAGAAGTGAGCATAGTGGCTGGCTGGTGGGGCGTGAACAAAGGTGAAGGGATGGTGGTACCTCAGGAGATAAAGGGGAACCCACACTTGGGCTGAGGATCTATGTTCAGGAATAGTCAATCCATTTGAGCAACTACGCTATCATATGATATATTAGATGTCAAAACAATAACTAGCTCTATATAAGCGGAATACTTGCTGAGCTATTAGTGACTGATGAATAAAGATCTTAGAGTTAGAAAGGTTTTTTTCATTTTTATGTGGTTGTTGAGGACTAGAATTTCAGAACCTTTAAGAACCCAGAGATAGATAATAGATTGATAGACAGATATATAATAGATAATGGATGGAAGGGTGGAAGGATGGATAGAGACAGAAAGATAGATGATGGATGGATGGAAAGATAGTGGATGGATGGATGGATAGGTAGGTAGGTAGATTGCTTTTGTCACAGTAATGTCTACAAAACATTAAGGCTCACTACTTGGGAAATGCTTCCTTCTCCTATATTTGACCTGAGTTAGTTGAAATCCCTTCCTGGCAATCGTCACAATTTCTTTTCTTTCAAAATGAAATTATTTTATTTTTATTAGCATCAACACCAATTATTTGTCCAAGGAGGTTTCATTTTGACATGTCCACATATGCATGATTTGTAATTCTTTCTTCCTTCCTTCCTTTCTTCCTTCCTTTCTTCCTTCCTTCCTTCCTTTCTTCCTTTCTTTCTTTCTTTCTTTCTTTCTTTCTTTCTTTCTTTCTTTCTTTCTTTCTTTCTTTCTTTCTTTCTTTCTTTCTTTCTTTCTTCCTTTCTTCCTTTCTTCCTTTCTTTTTTGGGTCAGGTCGTGGGGCCTGAACTCTGGGCCTGGGCGCTGTCCCTCAGCTCTTCAGCTCAAGGCTAGCACTCTAACACTTGAGCCACAGCGCCACTTCCAGCTTTTTTTCTTTTTGCTTATGTGGTGCTGGGGAATCGAACCCAGGGCCTCATGCATGCAAGGCAAGCGCTCTACACTGAGCCACCTTCCCAGCCCCTTGTAATTCAATTTTTTTAAAATATTTATTTATTTTTTTATTGTGAAAATACTGTACAGAGGGGTTACAATTACATGGGCAAGATAGTGAGTACATTTCTTATCAAACATTGTAGCTTCCTCCTTTGTTTACCCTTCCCATCCCTTCCCAGCGCCCTCCCCCCCATTCCTCCCCCCCACCAAAGTTGTAAAGTTCGTTTTCAACATGACAACTTGTACTTCTCATTGTTGCAACGGGTCCACCTGTATCCTTATTTAAATGACTTGTTTTTCCTCTTCCCCTCCACAAATTATACCGACATCAAATACAGTGAAAGCAGGGGGTTATACTGTGGGGGAGGGACATACAAAGCAACAAAGAAATAATCTTATAAATGCGTTAGAAACAAATGCATGATAGAAAAAAAACATTTAAATACATATCTTAAGGTTCATTTCCCTAACATCACCTTATCTGACCTTTTCTGCTTGACTCATACATATACTAGATATTGCAAATAAGGGAAACCATGGGACCTATCTATGTTTCTTTGGGCTTGGCTTACTTCACTTAATATAATTTTTTCCAAGTCTTTCCATTTCCTAACAAATGAGCCCCTTGTAATTCTTATCCCCCTCTGCCTTTCTAAACCAATGCCAGCTTCATTGTTCCATTTTCACAAGTACAGGACATAGTTCATATGCACCCTCTTTTACCTTCTCTGTTCTCTTTCCTCCCTCCTATTAGTACCCATACTCCAAAAAGGACATTTTACTTTCCTAATATTCATTTCTGTTAAGGTGTATGTGAATTGTTCACGCATGCACAGACCATGTGAAGGAGTGACTGTGATTAGAAGCACTCCTTCATATACCCACACGTTTCCCACGCACTCTCTATTACTCAACAGCCTTCACTGAGTTTGGTTTTTCCATCTCCATTCACAGATGCAATGTATTCTGCTATTGTTCATCCTGTAGCATGTCTTTCTCTTCTTCTCATCTCATCAAGGATTCCCACAAATATATTTATATTGATATAGATTAGATACAGAGAGGTACCTCACATATATTTATACATATGTGTATGTGATCCTGTATATGTTTACATATATGTTTATGTTGATCTTTTAGATATAGCATCTGAATACGATAGAAAAAAAATGAGAGAAAAATGCAAACAACCATCTGAACCTGGCTTGATTTCCAGTTTCATCCACTTTCCTAAAAATGTCATAATTTCATTCTTCTTTATGGCTGAATAATGTTCATTTGCGTATATAGACCACATTTTCTTGAGTCATTCATCAGTTTTAGAGGCTCTGAGCTGTTTTCATAGCTAACCTATTGTGAGCAGTGCTGTAATGAACATGGATGTGCAAGAGCTTCTGTTATATTCTGATTTACATTCTGTGGTTAAATGCTCAGGAGTGATATTGCTAGAACATGTGGTAGTTCGAGTTGTGGTTTTCTTGGTGCTTT